CCCGAGACGCAATAACTTCCCTGTGCATACCTCGAGACAGCAATACAGGATGTAAAAAAATCAACTGCAAATATTTTAAGGGGTGAATCAGCCCATGAAACTGAAAAAGTTTCCTCAAGGAACATAGGTCGAAATATGAAAAAAAATTTTGGACCTCCCATACAAATTGACTCGGCCGGCTGGTACATTTTGTATGGTAGGTCCAAATTTTTGGGAAAGTTGTTCAGTTTCACGGGCTGGTTCACCCCTTAAAATATTTGCAGTTGATTTTTTTACACCTTATACAGGGAGTAACAGAAAGGGTATAACAAGCCGAAAGGAGGTCAAGGTACTCGTGAAACTGAACAACTTTCCCCATGGGACATGGGTCGAAATATGAAAAAAAATTTGACGTCTCATACAAAATCGCCGATCAGCTAATTGATTTACTATGGGAGGTCCAAATTTTTTTTTTCATATTTCGGCCTATGTTCTATGGGGAAAGATGTTCAGTTTCATGAGTACCTTGACCTCCTTTCGGCTTGTTATATCCGTTACTCCCGGTATACAGGTCAGTTATAGTGGGTTTTACAAAGGTTTTACCAAATTGTAGAGTAAAGGATTTACCTCTTTGTACATGGACAAAACAGCTGATGCTAGATCTGAGACGTCTCTTTTTGGAACATTCTTATCGACACTCTGCCTGAGATAATGCCGGGCCAGTTCTAACAACTCTTCTTCTTCAGGTTCTCTGAAATAAGAGATGACAAACATTTTAGAGCCCACAGAAAAACGGGTCCGTCAAAAACCAAGTGATCTTATTTAGATATTTTCTACCGCAGGCAGGATTTGAACCTGTAAATTTTGGCATTTGTATTGAGGATGCCTCCAAACGGCTCAATCTTAACCTGCGAAATAGTGCAAGTGTATCTTGGCCACTAACGCGTGGCGGGCTCCATCTACCGATTGATTCATTCTTTACAGATTGAATGTAGTAGCCAGAGTGAAGAAAACCCGCGATAAACTGAATACCAAATTTTAAAACACTTCCCGCGCACTTACTGCGCACAAACGATCCCAACGGCGGCAATGGTCCGCACACACAGAGCGGAGACGGACGCAGCGGTGGCTATAACCCGGATCCCGCACACGCCGCACCACTGCATACCACCTTCCTCTTCGCCACCTCGCACCCAGAAACCGCCTTGCTGGATTAGCTGGAAAAAAACATAAATGGCCTTACCACTAAAAAGTTAAAGTAATTTTGAACGCGTGTATAAAATAAAACTTCATACAAAAGAACGCTACACACGCGTTTAACGCTCCTGTAACTTTTTTGTGGTAAGGCCCTGTTATTTCCAGTGTGCTTCTGAGGATATTAGTAGAGATCTTGCAGCTTTCTGCGTTACATTGCATCATGGCAAAGAACTTCATTTCAGGGTTAATAAAATTAAGATTTTTCTTCACCATCACCATCTCATCTTCATCTTCATCTTCACCATCTTCCTGACCTTACCCCAAATCATATTTGTAATGTGATTATTAAGCTGTATGTACTAGTCGCAACATCATCATCTTCCTGCCCTTAGGGTCAGGTAGGCTACAGTGACTCGGATTTCTTCAATCAATAAAATTTTATAGATAACTTTGAAGTATCAAACTGAAATTCATATCTAAGATGTATTGATTAATACTCTTTCGTTTCGCATTATCGTTTTTTGCAATAACACGACACTTAGGACATCAGACATTATTTTCTAGAAAAAAAAAAATGTGAGTCACTGTGTACCTGTACCTGTCTTCACTGACTCAACCCCTGTGGTACACAGTGACTCTAACAGTTTATATGGACTTGGCAACCCTGTCGTGCAAGTATAATATTTATTGAAACTATGCATTTTAATCAATTATATTTGTCAAAGTATTCTTTTCCTATCATTACTATTGCCATAAGAAATATTTTACGATTGTCTGTTAATGTTTCTAAAATAGAGATATGAGCCAGTACTGAATGTTAGAGTCACTGTGTACCACTTAAATTTGAGCCAGTGTAGACGCCGACGCTATTTTGAAATAATTAGCCTACAATTATTACTAGAATACTCTAATAGCTAGCAAATCTAGCTTATTACTTAGTATTTGAACACCACTTTCGATCATAATAATTACATTTCCCTAAATCTTTCAATCTTAACCGATAAAAATACAAGTCGGGTACCTTGAAAAGCATTTTTAAAGGTGCAAAACCAATTGCACATTTTTTTCACAATTAAACCGCACTTGAATGAGCGGATGATTGGTTTGTATGTGTTTGGTTGTCAAGAGCTATCATTATGTTAAGAATACAGATAGATATAGCTGTCCTACTCCGAAATATAAGCGTGAGTCAATGTACCCGCCTGAGTCACCGATCCCTACCTGACCCTATCCGAAATCAATTGGGGTAGTGTTAGAGAACAAAATCATGTAGCAAAAGGATTTGGCTATGTTTTATGACCGGTCGTCTGCCTGACGTCAAACCTCTTTGGGAATGCTATTGTAGGTGGTATCACCGCCACCATGCGATTGACCATAGTCAACAAATATTAGTTGACCATAGACGACAGATATTCAGCCGGGGTCAAAAACTCTACGACGCCTTTTACGAAGCGCCTTGAGTGGACTAGGTGTGGCAGTATTCTTAGCCGCTACCACGCGGTGATACTTGTGAGGATATAAGAGATCTTGAAGCTTTCTACGTTACATAGCGATAATCGAAAAGTACTTCATTAATTTCATCTACACTAATATAATAAAGAGGAAAACTTTGTTTGTTTGTTTGTTTGTTTGTTTGTATGTAATCGATAAACTCCGAAACTACTGGACCGATTTCCAAATTTCTTTCACTATTAGAAAGCTACAACATCCCTGAGTAACATAGGCTACTTTTTACCACGGGAAAATTCCTCATTCCTACGGGAAAACGGTTAGCAGCAGGAAAACGGGGAAATAAAGCAGATATTACCCAAATTAGCCAAACCGCTTTACCGATCCTCGCGAATTTTGGCACTGATATTACTATCATATAAAAGACGGACATGGTCAGCCCTCGAGGATCTGGAGTACCTGATGAAGACCACCAGCATCCCATATAAACTATAAGAGATACGGTCATGGCTTCATAGAAAAAGTTGTTCACCATGACGGGCCGCTTCTGCTGGCACATGGTCATCGAGGATCTGGAGTACCTGATGTAGACCACAAGCATCCCATCTAAACTATAAGAGATAGGGTAATGGTTTCAAAGTAAAAGTTATTCAGCACGACAGGCTGCTTCTGCTGGCACATGGTCACGAGGGTCTGGAGTACCTGATGTAGACAACCAGCATCTCATCTAAACTATAAAAGATTCGGTAATGGCTTCAAAGTTAAAGTTATTCAGCATGACGGGCCGCTTCTGCTCGCACATGGTCACGAGGGTCTGGAGTACCTGATGTAGACCACCAGCACCCCATCTAAACTTTATTAGACTCGGTAATGGCTTCAAAGTTAAAGTTATTCAGCATGACGGGCCGCTTCTACTGGCACATGGTCACGAGGGTTTGGAGTGCCTGATGTAGACCACCAGCATCCCATCAAAACTATAAGAGATACGGTAATGGCTTCAAAGTTAAAGTTATTCGCCATGACAGGCCGCCTCTGCTGGCACATGGTCATGATGAGTAACTTCTGCTAGAATTGATTAATGGACTTTTTACTACGGGCAAAGATCCCATTTCTATGGGAAAACAGGTAAGTAGCAGCGAGTGAAACCGCTGGGCGGGCCGCTAGTGCTAAATAAAATTAGATTACCAGACAGTAAATTATACCTTACGATCATGGAAAAACCCTTCATTTCAGGATAAATAAAATGACAGACAGTAGTTTATTCCTTACCTGTAGCAAGAAAGACTGAACAGGTCTGGAGCCCCACGAGTCTGCCCGGGCCCGATGCAGAGCGCGGACGAGTAAAGTGATCCGACCATTTTTCGGTCTACTGCCTTTACCGGTTGAACGCACTACGTTATTCTGGAAATGGTGTAAAACAGGGATCGTTTTAGGTTCAGAGCTAAGCTAGCGGTATAATAACGGTACCGGTATTAGTTTTAGAGGTAGACGGGAAAAGGTTATAATCATAGGTTTACCGGTAAAAAATTGCGCTACTGCTAACTTTATTTAACTGCTATAATTTCGATACCAAAAAATACTTTGCGCTGGTTTAAACGACGCTACAATATCGTGAGAGATGTACTTGCAAAACCCTTATGATAGCGGTTAGTTACAGTAAAAAATAGCGGTACCGTGCGGTAGAGATTTATTTGGGTTCGTTAACTTTTGATGTCTTTTGATTTCGGTATGACGTCAGACCCTTATCCGTTTTAACCGGAATTATTTCGGTTATACAATCCCTGGTAAAAGTACTTTCATACATTGCTATAATAAAAATATACAATGCTTTATATGATTTTGGATTTCAAACAACAAAAGTTGTGAACTATTCAAAACTTTTGTCTAAGCTTACTAACTTGCTAGACTTTTTAAATATTTGACTCCTTTTCCTTACCCTCTTCAGCTCAGCGATGATATCGGCAGGTTCCAATATAGGTGTGCAATCTATAGTGATCACTGTTGAATTTGACTCTTTTATCACGTACTCTGCTAACAAGCTGAAAAACGACATCCTTGTTTCAAAATTTTCCTATACGCCACTAGTAGTGAATGGGAAATTTTGTTCTCTTACGCCAGTAGTGGCGAAAATAGTGGCATAAGGGAACAACAGTTAAGAAATTACATTTATTTTTATATGTCTGTAATGAATGATTGTGGCTATCGTACATAAAACAAAACGTAAATGGGCGTCGCAAATCATATATAAAATCTAAATGATTGTCTTGCCTATGATTTTATTTGCGCCAACTAGTATACTTACTCAATTGGGATTTTTATGCACTCACAGTGCTATATTATTCTCATAAATGAACATAAAAAAATGAAAAAAGACATGCATCGACCGGGGCTCAAACCCGGGCCGCATGGGTAAACGTCCCACCACTCTGCCACTGAGCTATCGATGCACCGATTGATGCTTGCCAAATTTCAATCTCATGATTCTCGTCTCCAAGCGACGATCTAGCGACATCTGTTGAAAGTATTTACAACTTAAAGAAATATTTACCCATGCGGCCAGGGTTCGAGCCCCGGTGGCATGACAGTTTTTCAATTTCTTTTATTTTCATTATACTTACTTCTTAGCACAGGCGTCCGGTCCAACAATGAGTAGATGCGCGTCATCAGAATGCACGCACGCACGCACGACGGGCTCGCACGCTGATAAACGCGCGCACATATACAAGTTGTCTGATACCCACTCGCTTGTCGTCTATAATTTTATTTGCACCAACCATTATACTTACTTCTTAGCACAGGCGTCCGGTCCAACAATGAGTAGATGCGCGTCATCAGAATGCACGCACGCACGCACGACGGGCTCGCACGCCGCTAAACGCGCGCACATATACAAGTTGTCTGATACCCACTCGATTATACTTACTTCTTAGCACAGGCGTCCGGTCCAACAATGAGTAGATGCGCGTCGTCAGAATGCACGCACGCGCGCACGACGGGCTCGCACGCCGATAAACGCGCGCACATATACAAGTTGTCTGATACCCACTCGCTGGTCGGCAGCGGAGGTGTTAGTGGCGGGCATAGTATGGCCGACATCTGTAAAAAGTTTGTCAAAAATGTAAGTAGTATTAATTGGTGACAAAACAAAAGACAATTTGGGAGTTGTGTATTGCAATTTTAGGCGACAGGCTGGAAACCCGTCATTACGGTACTGCTATGGTGATACACACGTCTTCTGAAGAACTCAAACGTGGTGTAAATGGCTTCTCACCAATGGCTGTAGTCACGGTTTTATAAAGCCAGTATTATACCGCCCTGCCAACAGGACACGATTCAGCCTATACAGGGTTGTTCAAATCTGAAGATAACCCGCAATGTATGCAATATAATATAGAACCCTGCTGACCGGGAAGTGTAATTAATAAGGGTTGAAGTCGTCATATATTTTGTCTGTCGGTCAGAATCTAGCTATAATCCCTGTAATACTTGACAAAACAAGGGGTTAATAATATAATACCTTTGGGTAATTGCATACCTCTTGTTGAAAGCTATCGACTGCATTTTCTTTGAGCAGCCCGATAACGCTTCGTTGTAGAGCCATGTAGATAAGTTCTTCTGGAGTAATATGTATCACACTCACTCCGATATTATGAACGGCGTATTCAAACTGGGTTAAGATTTGTTTCACCTGCAATGAAGACGTTTTGCATTATACTTTTATTTCGTTTTATATGGGTTAAAGACCTTGGGTTAGAGACATTATGGCGAGTATGACTCCAGAATATGGCACAACTTCCCGAATGCTGCCTAACACAGCTGCTCTCTTCTTCTAGTTTAGCGTAGCCTAAAGGTTTTTATCCAACTGCAATGTTTGCCTCATATTCTGTGATTTGATGATGAAGAGTTGAAGAGAATGAAAGATATTTTACGTTAATATGAAAAAATATAATAGAGTTCAATTTGCTTACCACAGAAACATCATACAGTTTGAACAACGAGTCGGATCTATGTCCCGCAAGCCATGCTAAGGTTTTCTTTATTGTTTGCTGTAGCAGCGGTAGCGCCATTTTTGCTGTCTCATTCTCGTACTCGGCGTTGAGAGCCCAGTTCTCCAAGACCTCTGGCGCGCAGGAACTGTCTTCACTGGAAATATGGTAAAGATAACGATAAAATAAGTGGTATGTTTTTATGAGCGCTATCTGACTTCAACGTTGTTAATCGGTAGCAAAAATATAAATTCAAGAGCGAGAAAAAACTACCCACCGAAAAGTCGTCATTCTTTAATGAAGCGAACTTCGAAGCTGTCAAGCTGTGGTAAACAGATTTTTGCTTTAGAGTTGGAAAAATTTGCCATTTTACTCGCCAACTCGCCGGGCGTGGTGGGGACTATTGAGACGGATGACATGACGTGCGATTGTGTATGACAAAGAAGAAGCAGATAATACCTCAACAAGATGATCCCCATTCTGGATACAGTAGCTGGAGAGGCATGCTCCAAGCTGTGCGTCTCGAATATGAAGTTGACATTAGGGCCGAACTGTATCCGCCAGCCGGACGGTAGCGTCAGCAGCCTGTTGTCGTCCAGAACTGAGTTCAGAGCCTCGATCCATTCAGGGTCGATATCACCGTCGCATACCACCCAGGACCAAACATCTATAAAAATGTTAGGTGTCAAAATGAGAAGAAAGAGGCCTTAGTCCAGCAGTACAGAAGCACGACGTAGGCTAGTACAGTTAAGATTCAATAAAAAACGATTCATGTCTTGGGAAAAGTTGTCCACCAGTAAAGTCCCCCAGAATGGACCCGAATTGGTAACATTGTTGTTTTGCCTATCTATCATGTTATATGACATGATCAGGATGTCAAAAATAATGTTCGCAAGTTGTACATCCTTTCATTGTCAGCTACTGGTGAAGAGGCACCTTCAATAAATGTCGAAAATATTGCAAGGTATAAACCAGCCCATTAAATTGCTGGATACTAGACATACGCCTTTCGCATAGACCACCACTGGTTTAGGTATGCTAAAAGTTGAAGTAAGTGTAGCTCGACAACTTCGTGCGGGACCTTCCTGCGGGGCACAGGGCGATGAAGCACGTCAGAATGACTATGAATATGACGCGCGGCACGGATGCACGCGTGTTTCTTCCCCGCTACACCTCCTGCTACCCGCTGACATCTTGAATACCTCGTCCCCTCCACCGTCTGTCACCCCTAGGGAAGATCGCGCGCGAACATTCGGACTATAGCCATGATGTATAAGCTGGTTCACAAAAGAAGGGGACCCGAAATGGCAACATTATTGTTGACATCTTGCTCAAAATGTCATGTAATATGAAAAAGACGCAAACAATAATGTTGCCATTTCGGGTCCCATTCTTTTGTGAACCGGGTAGTAAATCTCGTAATATCTTACCAGCAGGTTGATTGGATATCTCGAGAGCTGTAGAGGAAATTACTCCGTCAGTCCACTGCCGCGTGTCGTGGTCGATATGTCCGAGTAAGCAGTTACGACTCATCGCCTTTGGGCAGATTATGTACTCGACTATGTTCTTGCCTTGTTGTATAAGTGCCTGAAAATCAAATGTTTCTACTTTGAAATGAAAGGGTTCATCGTGTTTATGGACGACTCGGTGTCCCACACGAAGAGAGAGATGAATAAAACTGACATATTGGAAAGGTGCATGCAGTCAGCGTGTGACGAGGTGTGACATGATAGAAAAAATACGCAATGAAGAAGAGGTGTATATACCCAACAGAACCTAGCCTTTTGAACTAAGTTGATAGATTGAAATCTTCTTCTTCTTCGAGTGGGACACGCAAGTCATGCAACGACCCGACGAAACCTGGTGTCAGAGTTTTTCAACCGCCTACTGCAAGTAGCAGGCCTCTGACATGGTTGTGTAACGACCGCCAACATAGACAGCAACCGGGACTAACGGCTTAACATGCCCATCAGAAGCACGGAACCATCTTGCTTTTCGGACAATCAGGTGGCTCAGTCTGCACTGTCTTAACCAGACTGCGATCAATTTCACAAAGTGACAAATACCAACTTTGTGAGTGACCCCACCGGTAATTGAACCCGGAACCTTCTGCGTCGCAGGCAGTCGTACTAACCACTGCGCCACATCGGCTGTAGATAGATTGAAATCAAGTTTCATAGGATCAATATTTGTTTGGAAAATAATAAGATTTTACGGTTTTCAACAGCTGTCGAATGGTTGTTTTCCCCGAACCTGGCGGGCCGACTATCACAACTCCCATTCTCTGTTGCATTTGCTCATACAGCTCCTTGCATTTTTGGATCTGAAATGAAAAGCACATATTCAGTTTGAATAAATGTCAATATTTTTACCTTATGTGCTTATGTATAAAAAGAGCGACTGGTATTTTGAAACACTGGTGCCGCTTAGTCAAAAAATAGAAAAAGAAAAATTATTTATTGGAGGTATTTATTTACTGAATTCATTGTTTCCAACAAACACGCCAAGATAGTTGTTGTGTTGAAATCAAGAAATATGGAATTAACATACCTACATACATACAAGGTGTTCCAAAGGAAATACATTAAATTGGAGACGTTGTGTAGACCATCGTACCGAATAATTTTCATTATGGGGCCAAGTTATGAAAACCCCTTGTTTAGAAGTAATTAGCAACTTAAGTTTGTTAAATTTAATTGAGTCCCACATTATGAAAGAAGCTTTATTGATCATGACCTTTATTTATGTCATGTTGCCGTCTTGGAAAAACTTTTGAAATTACCGCCACAACTGTTGCCAAGGCAACGGTTTTGGCGGTAATTTAGTTGCCAAGGCAATAGTTGTGGCGTAGACCAAGGTCAAATGTCATGTTCGTCAAAAACTGACATAACTGACACTACAGACTCTACTTGGTTCTCTGATTGGCCCTTTGTCTTTTCGTCTCTATGGATGCTCTAAGTCAAAATAAGTTTTTAGTTTGAGGCGGCAATAAAATAAAATAATACCAAAGAAAGAGATATTTTGTCTTAAGTTTTCGTTTAAATTTAAAACATAGACAACTATGTTCCAAACTTTTTCGAAGATTCAAATCCAACAATTTAAAATGCAAGGTTGCAATCTTGGATAAGGGGTAATACATAATGGTTGTAGTAAATGTAGGCATTTAGTTTGTATGAAAATTTCAACTTTTTAATTTTTAAGAATTCAAACTTGGTGCCATAATGGAAATTGTTCAGTCTTGGTGCCATAATGGAAATTGTTTCAACACAACGTCTCCAATTTAATGTATTTCCTTTGGAACACCTTGTATAAATAACCTAGGTATATCCCTTGCGGGGTAAACTGCTGTAAAAACGGCCCTTCACACCACGTCTGTCAAAAGTTTGAAAGTCATTTAGAAGACGGTGTATCACAAGTGACAGGATGTCAGCCTGTCGCCTAAAATCACAAAAGTAAGGAAG